TGATACTGCTAAAGTAGCGAAATTTCGATGACTAGCATAGCCCTACAAATGTCTAGCACAGACAGAAAATAGATTGCACTGAAGTTTATGCATAATATACAGGTGTGGCAAAAGAATCTTGATAAAAATCACTCTTAGAACTGCCAGGAGATTTCCAGCTAACCTTATATCATACGAAGAATGCTGACTGAAAATGCTGCGTTTTTTTTTTTTTATTTCATGTATTCTGTTAATTAGTTAATTGGCAGAGGACCAAGTGTGCGGTATTTGTTTTAGTATACGACAGCTGGCTTTGAACACAAAGAAAACTATTCAATTTTAACAGCCATAGTAATTGCACGACCCGTGATTTGGGTGAGCATTTAGTGGTAACAGTAAGAACAAATACAAAAGTCCGCCTTATAGATAAACGGTATAACATTTCTTGTAGCTTCGATGTGAGTGTCCATTTCCACGCGACTGAAGTCGTGGACTATCTAAGGGATAATCAGGATTGTCTAATTGGCACCACAAATACAATAAGACCAACTGCAAATAAAGAATATCGCCATTTTATAGTACATTGGGACTCTCATTCGAAGCTGAAAATACCCAGTGTATGAGGGGACCGGACAGAATTGTTTTGTTCATGAGGGGAACGCTGTTAGACAGATTTGGTAAGTGTCGGCTTTTTCATTCTAGTACGCTTATTCAGGGGCTTCTGTACCTGAATCCCTCTTGCTTAGCAAGATTACACGATACATTCGCTGGTAGTAGCAGCAGCCTTAGCCAATATAAAACAGGTTGAAGCTGGATTAGGTCTGCGGTCGCATTGTGGTTTTAATATGACGATTCATATCGTGTAAAGAAGCCTGATCGAGCTCAAAGGTCCTATTAACAAGCTGAACCAATAGCCCTGCTAATTCCCAGAACGAAGATTGGCTTATGATTATTGTTGTGAAGATGCTTTGTACCTCAGTCCCTCGATGACCAGTTAAAAATCCGGATGGAGCCAGTGAAACTACGAAGGCCTACTAGTGCCTAGATGTAGCCGCTACAATGTATTAGGTTGCAGTCTGGACTTCTTAGCAAGATGGACCTTGAAGAGCAGTCACGCATATATAGATATACGATTTGAGCTTATCGGTCTAAATCGTTCGAGTGTCACTATTCACAAGATTTCAAAATTATCGCCCCCATGCGTGTTCTGCTTAATTACCTAAATCACAACAGTTCTATATGTTGGCATTCGACAGTCGATGATTAACTGCTATTTCACTGACACACGTAATCGTAATTTGCCAATAGGTAAAGTTCAAGCGCAAGACAACGTTACCCTAAACGCCGTGGCTGGCACCACGAAGTTCTGGAAGGAGACCAGCCTACGATGCGACCATCCCATTTCACCGCGTCGTTATTTAGCTGCGCGTCATCTTATACGCGCACGCCAAAATGATTTCCATCATAAACATCATAGCGGGAACGTGACTGCCACCGCTTTTGCTGCGACCGCAATCAGTGGAGAAGCTCGCGGACGACGGGCAACCATTACAATATGATTATAACATATGTAACTGTAGCCAAGTAGAACCGAATGAGTAGTAAAAGCTCATACAAATGCGCGTCGTGCATCGGGCCGTTAACGGAATGCGGCGGAATTGATAAGAACGCTTCTTACAGTCGGGTGACCAGTGACTAGCGAACGAGAAGATACATTTTTACCGGGAAAAGACTGCTAGATGACACCTGCTGTAAAAATGGCGGCCACAACAACGTCAGCTAGCTCGAACAGACCGAAGATGGGTGGCGTGGCCAAAATGTTGAAACTACAATCTGTGGCTACATGCATATTTGCCCGCTTCTCCGCTACCTAGCACTGATACGGAGTTGTCGCATTGCTAACGCGGATGTGGCTCATGAGAGATAGTTTTGCAGCTGTTGAACGAGCAGTAGTGCAGGTGGTGATGGCTGTTGGCTTCGCTACGAAAGTGAGTGCAATGGCTTTTCACGGTACAGAGTCATTTTTTGGCAAATAGCGATGATCAGGATCCAGTGGCTAATGGCTAGCTGGAGAATCGTCATCATATGCCTGCTTATCGGACACGGTCGATGCCTAGCTTCGGTTTCTATTTCTATGATACAGCATAATTTTGCCCTGTACCATGACGCCAGCAATAGCGGCAGCAGCGCACCTCCCTGAGTTCACTGACGGACATCTACACATAAATAGATACAATCACTCAAGTGTCACAATATCGAATCAATATCACCAACTTGAATATAAACTGTTTCTGCAATTTGTGTAGGAATACATTTGTTGACACCCGTTGCGTCTGGAGCGAAAGGCTGTGGAGAGCGAAAAAAGTCCATGAGGACGTGTGACCTGGAGGGCTATCTCAGTGTGACTTAATGTGGAGCAATACCTATTCCTCAGGGCCCCGGCTTCGTCTGTTCTAGTAATGGTTAGAGCGGGATCGGTTGTTAACTAACAGGCTGTCTGCGGCCACAAATGCTCTGTGATGCCACATGAATCCTAGAAATGGTAGTCGAGACTCAGGCAACACAAAGACAGAGGAAGGTTTTTGACGGAAGTGGCTCCTCTCACTGTCTCCAGTCTGTTGTCTTTGAAACGCGGTAAAGCCTCTTCGTCTAAAGGAGTTGGAGATATTTGTCAAAACATGGTCTTATTACGGCCGAAAAGAAGACCATCTCGGCTTGTAATCATGTTGAGCATGCCAAAATAGACATTGCTGGTTGGTTTATACAAGTTCAGCCTGCTCGACAAAGGAAGCTAGAGACTTTTAATGTGCGGGGATATTTTAAAACAAAGAAAGATGTATTATACCCCGCGGGGCTCGTAACAGGCGCTTCTAATTATTTTCAACACATAACCATACATCATATATTCGAGTCAGCGCGCTGACGTATGGCGATACGAGAACGCGTGGGTTCGAGGTAATCGTGTGTGTGTCGCAAGGATATTTTTAGCTATAAGTGCTTTCGAATTTAGATAGACCGATAGCTAGCGTAATACTACCCTTTGACAGGCTGGCCTATAACAACAAGCCCTATTTTTGCCCTTTTGTTGTTGACTTATAGTTGTGAACATATGAAAGGAAGATTCCAAATCCCATTATCCCCTCTCCCCTCCGGCAGCACCCCTTTTAGATTCAACGTTCGATGACAGGTTAAATGTGACTCGGTAGCTCTAGCTGGGAGTTGATGCCATATTGTCAGGAATAAACGTCAGTTGGGTACAGGGCCTTTCAGTTGTAATTCCTAGATGACGCCGTTACCTCACTTCCTTACGGATAACATGCATTCATCATTCAAACCACTACCAAAGAAAAAAGGTGTCTTCACCCCCGGAGCTCAATGCGGATTCGGGACAATCTTTAGTTGTGCGGGATCATCCACTTACTGAAATACAGAATGATTTCAAACTTAAGTTTGCCTCCTAATTGCTAAAACGGTGTGGACCAGGACGGCTGTTAAGACGGAAAGGCGTCGTTTACTGCCAGCCGCAGAGCCACTTTTGTGTGCTATTCAATATGACAGATTATAATAAACAACTGCAAGCTTGTAAAACATCGTTGCGAAGCATAGACTGGAATTTGCTAACATTAACTCGCAGTGTTTCTTTTGTTACCAGTGTGAAAGTACTTACTATATACCACATTCGGGTCTGTAAAAATTGACATTATTTAAAGGGATTCAGATTTAGTAAATTTAGCCGTTGATTTATCTCGACTGTACGTTTTTTCCAGGAATACGTAAAATACGACATTTGCAGTAGGCCATTAATTCAGTTTGTGAGAAGGAACTGTGTTACAGTGTGTGACGACAGCCACTTATTTCTCGGGATTTAAATACATAACGTGAAACATGAAAAACACATAATACTCGGGATAATAAGCTAATTCGTATGAATTCGGTAGGGCGTACATTCAAATCCAGATATTAAACTAAATATATTCAAAGCCGAGTTACTATAAGCCGATATCTTGTTAGCGCAAAAATCGAGTTCGGTGTTTTCATCACTACGTCGACTTATATCGTTTTCTCGAACTTTATTTGATTTTATTAATTTGCAAATGAGCCACGAACTAGTTTGCCTCACAGCTCTTCTAAGGACCGTGCGTTCCACCTAACATCTAAGGTTTGCCCCTTGGAAGAGCTTTGACAATTGAAAATGCCCTGGTAGACAGCCGCAAAACTAAACGCACAGATATATATGAACGAAAGAAACAGGTACAGCCTCGTGGTAAGTGGAAGTATCCAGGAGTGTGACTATCAAGTTAGAGGAGCGTTATCCTCCTCACATGGCCTGTAAGGAGATTAGTACAACCATCGCTAAAATAACAAACCTTTTATTCATTGTAATTACAGGGCTATCGCAGGTAAAGCGTTGCCCTGCCATTATGTTCGGTACTAGGATAATTTAATGGCGATAATTCAGCGATATTTCAGGTTTGCATTTTCACTGTGAACACATTATAGACTCCATATATAAAGCGTTTGTTTGCCCAGGCTATACATAGTGTAATGTATAGATTTGAACTATAGTACGCATACACCCATTGTTTTCGGGCGATAGTGCAATAACCAACGGTATTGCATTTATGCTCGCCGCCCGATAGTCGAGCAGGACATGTTTGTATGTGGCCAAAAAAAGTCCGGTGCCATCTATTCGGGCACCATCATCGTAGTGGTTAAGATAATTTCTATTACAAAGATCGTCGTAATCTTTACGACGAGCAACACCATTATAATTTCGATTCGTAGTTTGCCTCTTTCCCCTATACACACAAACGTTTGTTCTACAAAGAATACTGTTCACGCTTCCATCTTAGTACCAGCATTAATAGCCAGACGAATATTACTACGGGAACTGCCGCGATGTCACATGGTTGCTCCCCTTGCCTTCAGCCTGAATGTAACGGTTCTTTAATGCAAAGGTAGTTTCCGTTACGAGCCGCTGCTATGACAGCGCTTACAGCAACGGGATCGAGCTACATGCGTAGTCACACAAACGACTGAAGACAGCTCCAACGTGGTCCAACCAGCAATTGCCTCCGGTGCCGCCCCCAGCCCCTCTCATCCCCGTCTAGCAGAAGCAACAGCCACCGCCGCATCGGGAAACAGCTGCTGGCAGTAAAGGCCAACGATAACAGGGACTCAGACATAGCAACGCGAGTGTCAGCAGCATCGTCTGCGTGAAGTAGCCACGCGACAATCGGGTACCAGCGAATGAGCTGGAGAGTTGCAGGAGCCACGCAAAGAATACTTCTTGCTGTGGCTGCCGCCGACGCCTGCTTGAGCGTCTGCGACATTTAGAATGACGCGCCACGATTTGCACTGCCCGAGCGCGGTGGGTCATATTCGGCCTTCTGCCCCGTCAAGTGCTTGCCGCCCCGCCGCTGGTGTCTCCATCTTTCACGCAATCGCCAGCTGTATCTGGCTGCGATGCCTGAATTAATTAAAGAAATGGGGAACGTGAGAGAGGGCTGTTTGTGGTGGTGGACTGACAACGTGCAGACAGTCGGTGTTTGTTGCAAAGTTTCAGCACCGTTGCTGTGCAACCTTTCGTGCGACGCCAGGTGCGGTACTTTTACAATCCACAGTAATTGGAGTAAGTGCAAGACTTGTCTGCTGTGAGCATCGGCTTGCACGTGCATGTATGAAAACTTTCCTGCACGTACCTGTATAATAAACATTCATATATGATTGAAAAACATCAGTCTCAACAACTTTGTGTGCTTTACACAGCGGAGCCAGAGTGCACGACTCGCTCACGGCCGTTTCTACGTACATACGGCTCCCTTCATCTGTTTATTCGTGTGTATGTGTGCTTATGTCTGCTCGCATTTTTGAATACGTAAACATCTCCGTAGATCTCTTCGTCTTTGGTTGTGAGGTCTGCCCGTGCATGCACGTGACTGTATACAACATAACTCGGACTTAGCCTACCACGGTGCAGGCTTAGTTTCTTATGTGATAATGTTCGAGATAGCCATCTCAAACTGAAATTATCCGTTACCCCTATCGCTGTTATCCAGACAGGATTTGGACAGAGCCTATTAGGCGGAATTGCTTATCTAGCTCCGCTTTTGTCCCTTTGGCTCGTGTTTATGGACAGTATGATACAGGAGCCGCTTGTTGTGTACTATATCGTAATCGACCACGCAACCCCTTTCGTGCGGCTTCTATATCCGGGAGTACTAGTCACTGTTAAAGGGGCTATGGTGAGGGTCAGAAAGGAGGCGTGAGATAATTTGGACTACACTTACATGCAATGAATATTACGCAGTTATAAGAGGTATTCCTTGTTGAGACAAAGGCATGATGTCACCAGTAACGATCTCTCACACTAAAGCCGTCGTTGCAACTGGACGGCCTTTTATTGGACTGTTATTTAGACTGTCTATATATCGTACTACGTGGTTAGGTGAGACCGTTATTCAGGACAGAAAGGTATAGGCTCTTCATCTTAGCAGATGCTTTTTCGAATATTACCATCTGCTCAAATTAGAACTGTAATATGCCTATGAAGTGTAAACATGGCATGCATTACAGATTTATATAAATTTTGAATACTGTAGATAATTATATTCTCTATATGTATAGGGGATTGGCTTGTCTTCGCATTTCAAGGTTATCCCGACAATGATATTATTTTTGCAGCTAGGCCGTGCTTCACCGAGTCATCAAGGCCTTTTTATCTAACTTATAATCACGCGCGTAGAACTTTTTGAATCGCTCAACTACCGAAAAATTGCGGCGGGAACTACTGCGATTGTGATTCAGCTCAGTCTCGTTTGCATTTAAGTCCTATTCCAACAAATGTGCCAGCGAAATCAAGCGAAACTGGGATTAATCGCCAATGGGACGTTTGTGAGAACTGCCAGCGTGCGTCTGACAGGCCTTCTCAGCAGAACATACGGTAAAAGCCGTTATGGACTTAAGCTGATGTGATACCCAATTTATAGTAGTATAACTGTCCTTCATGACAGTCGGTACCCTTGTCATGATCGTTGATAAAATGTCCCTCCTGTAATTATGGGTAATCCTCACGAGATAGTCTTATTCACTTGGGTTCAAATACTACATAAACATTATGCGTATGTGGCAGGATAATATGTTTTATTATATGCATAAATGTATTACTAATATTCGTCGGGTAGTCAGGCATCTCAGACAACCTTGTAATTAGCAAGATCTACAAAGAAACTGTGGTTATCAAGTATTACTAATTAAGGATAGAATAAATTCTACGATCGAGTCTGTCTATGTGAGTTACTTGAAAGAGCATTTGATTAACTAATATCTTTTCTCAGTGGTCAACATACTTTTACATTTGAATAGGTGACATTTAATAACCAATAGCACCAGTTACTTAGCTGATTGGCGTTCTTGAATTAGGCTCTGCAGAATCAGGCCACTGTTTTTTTTTTATCCATCTCCGCTCGTGTGTGTGTGTAAGTCCGTTTTTAAATTTTTCGGCTTTTTAGTTAATTATGTATTGATTCAACGGCTGGCTCCTTCCGATACACAGCGGAGTGTACTCACGCCCGGGTCTCTAGGTTTAGCACGCGAACACGTTATCTTGGTGTCATCATTAGATCATCCAATCATTCCGATTTCCTGCGTCAGCTAGCTTTTTTCCTCTGATTTCCTATCATTTCTTGCTCCAGTGGCAAAAAATATTTAGAGCAGTAAATACTATTATAGAAGACCTTATATAGGGCTCGCTGATAAATCTCGGCTTCGTCCAAAAGAGTCAGCATTATATACAATACTTATATATAATATGAGTTCATCCTCCTCTTTGCTATTAGGCAGTAGTAACATGAACCAAACTAAAGGGACTCTTACAACGTTACAGTCAACAACATATAAAGTCGAGGTATTATACAGTATTACTATTGTTGACTGGTCACCGTTTGTATGTAAGCGTACAGGATGTTGAGGACATCGACAAATTCGCTTCGAGGAACTCCACCAGACGCCAGCGTCAGCCTTAATCGACTTTCGTTGATATTCCCATCTATACGAGTGTGTACTACATACAAATGACGATGAAGCAAACGACACAATAACCTGACTAACCATATGTACAACGAACGACTTCAGCGTTTGGTGGCATCCCCCATTACGATGCGGTCTTCAGTGTCAAAACAATCACTTGACAATCGCAAATATCTGCTCTGGCCTCGGTGGCTTCGGGTGCCAGCATGCGTCAGGGCCACCGTTGCTTTCTTCGGGGCAGTACAGAAAACGTAATTTTCTATACAGAATATCTTTAGTCAAACGAGATGATGTCCACTCATGTGGTGGTCTAGCGGGTCTTGTCTAGTACGCTTTGTAGTGTCCATTATATTTGATGAAGAGGCGGGCAACCGTCGGTGATGACTGAAGATAATCAGACATAGGAAGCGGCTGGACCAAAAACTGTTTTGAATCAGCGGGACATTTTAAGTTTACTTGGGAAGTTGAAATTCAAGTATTTTATAACAAAAGCCTTTTATTTGGGTTCCACTATAATACACTGTGGGTCCACATTCTGGGTCCTAGAATTCACAAGCAGGGTTATATATATATATATATATATATATTTTGGCATCTTTTCCAGTCATTCCAGTCAGAAGACAACAACATTCTTCATACATATCCAGAAATCACAATATTTAGCAATGAACATAATCTGCCTACGATTATTATAACGCAGTTTCGCCATGAACCTCACTGCTAAGGATATGATATTACAGGTTATTACAGCGTAATGAGACTACATATCAGGCAATACCTTCATATGCCTACGGTCTATTCCTAAGGTTTATATATATTATAGCGCGAGATATCATACCGTCAGCAAAAAATCTCAGCTAAACATTTATCTGAAATGATCTCTTGAGGAAGCTCTTTTCTGGAAGCGCCAAGTTGTTCACAACCGGGTTGTGTCTGTCGGGTGTCCCCAAATTATTCCTATTATAAAACTGGGCTGTGTGTTAGCACTAGGGCTTGTCTAGTCGTTGTAACCTTCAAACAAATATTCAGATTGTATCCAGTGTGTCAATCTTATCCATCACTGCTTGAGTATTGGTAGCGTTGTCTTCAGTACGTGTTACCGGTTTCCCTCGCTAACGCTGTTCCACCCGTTTGTCTTCATAGTTGTCTTTCTATAAATCGTTCTGTGGCTGGGAATCGTGGACAGGGTTCAAAACATAGGTGGCCTGTTTTTGTGCCTGCTACGCAAGCTATCGTGTGTTATTCGTGTTTGAATCGGTGCGCATTCCCTTAGACTACGATCGACCGTGGAAAACAGAAGCTCGGAATGGTTGCGACCTTTTTCTTTCCCTTCAACCTTGTTACGACGGTGTTAGTCTCCAAATGTGTTTATGTATAACTGTAGTTAGATAACGGGTAGTTCCTAAACGTTTCAGTAGTTGATAACTTGTGACAAATAACGTATCAGTACGACGAATACGATCGCATTAGTTTGAAAGAGTCTGCAGTGAGCACGCCAGTGAATTTACGGTAAACAGACTATAGTTATTGTCTCATAGTTGGATGGTACTTCTGTAAACCTACGCGATCTATAGGCTCCGTCAACTATAAGTATTCTTATTATACACATTATGACATGCTGCAGAGACATGTGTTAATCTCATTGCAAATATTTGTGACATTAACGTAAACAATAGCGAGCTATAAATAGAAAATCTCGTCTGATACAATTTGTAGTTGTTGCGAAAAAGGAGGTGGTACAATGATTAGTACCTGTATGAGATTTTCGGTAACTTTTTTTTTGACGTGGAAGACATTTGCTGATTCTATATACGGTACACAGCAATCGGAACTTGTTTGTGTGAAGGTGCTAGTAAATCGTTAGCCTATCCAGCCGACGTCAGAATGCCAACTTACTAAAAACTTAAACTTACTAAAACTTGAAAGCCACGATGAAGTCTTCGATGCCTCGAAAGTCAGTTACCTGCAGTGCATACAAACGAAACAGAACAAACTATATCTTATTGTAACAATGTTATATATGTACAGTATCCATGCCTTTCAACTCTTGTGTGACAGAAAACTTTGTTGGACCTCGTTGGAAACATGATTACATGGAACAAGACTAAGGCAGTACAGGCCTTGTCATATTAAAACTGATTGGGTTAACCCAGTTAACCTGGGACCCAATCTCTGACGGTTTGCAAAGAATAAAACCGAAAAATGATTAGAATCACAGATGGTAACCAAGGAATGCAGTAGTAGACCGTAGAGGGCTTCGTCATTTATACGATCACCAACTCCGACATATATATATATATATACGACTAAGTCGGCTATTTAAACAGATTCAACACCTTTTCTACGTTATATGGCGCCATAAAATGATAATGACGCTAAAAAAAAGATACAAGGGCATCGGCTACCCGTTGTTCTTGTCGGAGCAGCGAGTTACGTATATACAGCAGTATATATATATATATATATATATCAGTTTGTTCGTACATTGATTGAAGCTTATCGATAGACCACGTATCTACATCGTTGATCATGCCCTGACTTAGTTCTCAATGGTCGATTTGTTAACGTGACTGGGCTTATCGAGACAGATAACGAAAAATAATAAGGAAGAAAATAACTGCGATGATAGAAACTCTAGTTTATGGGCTATACAACTTTCGCGAGACAATGATGGTGCCGAAGTACAAACGCCCTTAAGGCCCGTCCCAATCATTAACAGCTCTGCAATAGCAGCAGCACTCACAGTTGATAGCATTGTAGTCGAGATATGGATAGGTTTTCCGCCAAGGGCCGAGGCAAAACGATGAGAAACGAAAGCCGGTTGGCCATGTATGTACTTGTAAGTGGATAAAGTCACCGCTGCAGCGTTCGAGTTGTAATTCTGGGTTGGGTTCTGGTTATTAGAAAAAAAAAAAAAAAAAAAAGGAGGTCCATGCTATGTGAGGGAACTCCTACCGATCTTCTGGTATCTACGTCCACAAAAGTCGGCTAGATGCTACATTGGTGTCGGTGATTTATGGACATGTTGTAACCATGAAATATCTCGTTCTTTCTACAGCGAACGGCTCGCAAGCAGTCAAATTCGTATATTTTATGTATAAGTTGGTAGGACGCAATCTTTAAATACAAAAGGGCCAGATAATAATCGTCAGATCATATAAGTCATTTTGATATTAATAATAGTTGTGTCAATGAAACACCGCAACACACATATAGTTGTTGTCATGTTGTGAATCATGAAGATCAATCTGCAAAAAAGGTCGAAGTAAAAAAGGCTAATAAAAAGCTTCAATAAGCAATTAAACAAAGCAATTGGCTTAGTGGATTTTGTTTATCATAAGAAGTTGACAGTCTTGAGCTTACAATGCCCAGCATGTCATACGTAGATATAAATACGTACTATAGATATATAGAACTTTTTGTATATGCATAAAAAATGTATGCGGCAAGATCACAATTTCGACATAAAAATAAAATTTCGACCTAATCCTCACCTTATGCATGCTTATCATCATATTGCACAAGGCATATTGCACAATGAAAGCCATTTTTAAAAGGATTTTTTGCCAGAAAGAGTCATGCCTCTTCGTCCCATTAGAAGCTACAAGGTTTAGCACGCCAAAGACGATAGATACTGCAATGAAGCTGATTAAGTTATACAACAAACTTTTGACCTTTTGTCAGTCCATGTGTTCTCTGCCATTTCTGTTTGCCATGGCAACGCTTTGCTCCAGCCACGAACGCGTACTATACAGGCTACAAGATCGTGAAGCAAATTTACCTATAATAGTTAAATAATGAGTTACAAAGTCATGATCTTCATCAAGGACGGCTACGAGGGTCAGCTTCAATACTGTGACGGAATGATGAATTAATTTCGTGTTCGAGTCGATATTGATATCTGTTCTGTAGTAAAGCATCGACTAGTTCCGGCCATTTCGTACGAATGTTTGCTACAGTTAGTCGGAGCTAAGGCCCGAGGGTGAGTGTCAAAATGCTCTTTCATAACCGCTATTTTCTACCCGCTAGGTAGCTAAGTGAGAGTAGCAGTTGTTTGTCAAAGCGGGTCAGTTGACTACTTTATTAGCGTCACCTGCACGGGATGACACTGCATCACATCGAGGTGCGATAGGGTCGGCTGCAGGACAGCCTTCGCTTTGACCCCGTCTGAGTAAATCCGTGAAAAGTAAATATTATCAGAAATTTTACGAGAACAAAGGTCACTAGTAGCATCTTCTTACACGCTGCTTTGCATAAGACTGATAGTACATTTTTATATTTTTTTTTTCAAATCGCCTAATGGTTATAGTAAAGGCTAAAGGTGAATCGAAATTTCGTGCCTTTCAGGCAGCTTTTGGAACGGTTGTCCCACGTAAAACACGTGGTATAGTTATATATCTTCATTTAGTTCTTGTGATGACAAAATGTCGGAATATCTTCGCTAAACGACGAACTAAAAATATTACCATTATGATCGTCGGGAATTTAGATGCAATCTGAATGTTTGGTGGACAGTTTTATATAAGACAACATTTTGTTTGTTTGAATTCGTTATGACACGTACTAAGTATAAACAACAGCAGAATTTGGTTAAGCTTAAAGGCTACCTCTAGTGACTGTTTAAATCATGAAAGAGTTACATTGCCTAGGTCTCCATAAGAAAAGCTTGGACATTTCTATGACCATTCTATTATTAAGTAGTTCTAATTAAGGGGTAGAATTTTTCATAGGCAATCGAAAATCTTCTTTAGAAAGAACTACGGCTTTGTTTCTGGAACAAGTTCTATATGGCTGTTGAAATCTTAGAACATGGCTTGGAAGACATTTTGATTACTCTCAATACTTCTCTAATCAGACTAATCGTGATTTTAGGGGCCTCAGACAAACAGCTGGCCACTTTCATTGAACTTAATACTATCTACTATTTAGTCATAAGTCACGATATGGGTTCTTTCAACCGATATAGCTAGCGAGGATGCTGCTAAACCCGTACAATGTAATTCACTAACGATGTTGGCTCTCTTTCAGTTGTTACGCTGCGACGATACCTATCGGCAGCCCATTGCAAAACGAGCGCGCTTGGGTATAGGGTTATTGCCCGAATGTCGCCGTATTGAAACTTGAAAAAGGTCTTCTGCAAGCGGCGGTCAAAGACCGGAGCATATTGCCAGTAATGCATTGCCACTGATTAGGCTCGAGCAATCTTCTAACGCCCCGTTCAATACCTTAGATCAATCGTACTGGACCCCTATTGCTAGGTCACGGGATTACAAACATTGCAACTTTGGCAGCACAGATTAAGGAAAATATTAACGAACATAGGAGACTTTCAGGACGGGCTACAAAAACGGTCGAACAGTGGATGTAAGTTGAAAACCTTACATAATATGGCTTAGGTAGAAGATCGTAGTTTTTCTATTGTCGAAAGTATAGCAATCAATTTATGGTCATGCACCAATCTACTTATATACGGATAATAAGCCAGCGGTCATTGCAAGCCTCCACTGTTGATTCAACTGTTACTTGACGATCATTGGATTCAGGGAGCGATCGGTCTATTTGTAAAGCTTGTTACAGCGTGTGATTTTGTAAGTGGAATCAAATCATACATCCGCCCTATAGGATCCGCCTATGAAGAAGATTGCCGGGTGAGGACAATCAAGGACAATAAAGTTATATATATGTGTTGAATACCAGAAGATAAAGATGACTGATTAATTACTACGTTGATCTAAAGTAAGAGCGTCAGCACCTCTAGAACGCACCGAGGTGAAAGCATACGTATTATTATGATATTATCCACGATCAATAAAATATTCTAAGCACAGTTCTGTCACTCGGAACGCACCTGACGGGACCAATGTTATCTTCGCCGGTTCGGGTCTGTGGACATTACGGGTTTCTGCCAAATTGCAATTTGTGTTCCGATAAAATAGAGAAATCACCTCGATTTCAGCCTGTCAAGCGTTTCGTGGAGTCGTGGTCGCCAACCGCTCTGGTCGGTTGGACACAATTCGATTCCATGCAAAATGTTCAAAGAGCCATGAGTGTTAAATCGGCTTAACGCTGACGTGACAGCTGGTTTCCAGTTCAAGAGCATTGTCGACATCAGCATGTCGCACGATAACCGTTACGTTCAACTGGATTGTAAGGCCTGCCCCATGATGCTAACCGAGTAGAACGGTTGGATCGCAGCCAACAGCTCTACGGGCGTTCAGCAATCTTGTGCGACAACGGCCATACGGCAGAAGATAATCAAAGAGGTAAAACTACCCTAAGTCGTTTCCATCAGCATCCTTCTGTGGGTGCATGCTTTGATTCGCATTGTTGATTTGAGGAGAGCACGTAGCTGTCGTTGAGAGAGATCAGGAATTAGTCAGTCATTTTTTAAAGATGAAGAACTGCCATATCGTGATGGGAGCCTGCGTTCCCCGTCCTCAGCAAAGTGGCGGAACGATAGGTGCGGATGCGGCAGCAGCAGCAGCAGCAACAGCAACAGCAGCAGCAACAGCAACAGCAGCAGCAACAGCAGCAGCAGCAGCAACAGCAACAGCAACAGCAGCAGCAGCAGCAGCAGCAGCAGCAGCAGCATAGATTCGATAGCGATTCTAAGATGCACTATAGGAAAATCGATACGCGAGCTGTAAACCTGTGTAGGTTGCCTTCAGTACGAATGGCTGTAGCGTTATTGAGAGCCGTAAATATACCTATAGTATTTGGTATTTATCAAGGTGTGAATTGTGTGACATCTAAGACGTTAGGTAAAATTAATTAGAAATGCAATGAACAGCCCGATAATCCTCGGTGAACAAGCCTTATGAGAAAATCAATAGATAATAATTACCTGGTCCGAACGATATATTTAACTCAATTTTGTGTCATATGACAACGAATTCACTAGAAGACAAAGGACTTTTTAGCAATACGGAATAGCTTTCGTTCACTCAGAATTATCAGAGAATTATTGAAAAATTATCAAAGTTCTTTAAGTTTAAAGAAATTCTTTGAGGTATTATTACCCAAGCTTCGCCAGTTTCCATCAGCCTACAACTTTATAGATAAATTCGAACACGTACAGTCTAATTATTTTAACTTTACGCAAGTAATGAACGTTACTTATAGCAACAATGAACTCGATGTTCGATAAATGTTTAATGGTTCGACAAACAAGCTTGCCATCCCCGTTGCCTCAAAACAACGGTATAAAGTCCAAGGCGGCGATAAGCTGGGTGACCTAAACAGGTAATTTGTAGTACGCGTATCTATACGATCAAGTGCTTACCAATGACGAAAACCTGTATAGCGATGCCCGCATGCCCGAGCTATCATTAGATGGAATTAGGGGATTGAAGCCTTGTTCCGTTTGTCTGCACAACGTTCTGCTCGATTCTTTCTGTACCTGGCCGGACCACGGAGTACTCAATCAGCAGACCGAAAAGTGCATCGCGACAGTTGAAGGCTACCGGAGCTAGAGAACACTCTGATATTATCGCCCTAGGTATAGGTTACCTCACGTTGATTAGTTGTCATATCAAACCTAATTATCAATGATTTAACCAACGATGTAATCTTGCATCGTTGTCGTTGTAGTATGGCTTTGCAATGGGACCTGAGCTGAACGCTGCTGAAAATGCCTTGGGTCAATGGTTAAACCGGCGTAATTCAATCAATATGTCTATGCTTATCGTCTTAAAGCGTTCGTTGCTTTAAGTAATATATATAACATTTTAAGCGTCACGTGTGTATAACCAAGAACCGATCGATTGTAACAATGCCATGATCACCCGATAAATTATTTATTGCACTTCGTGCAATAAATTGGCAACCCACGAAATTCAGCTTCTATAGAATTTCGTATCCGTACCAAGCTAAGCCTATCACTTAGTAGATTTACTCACTTGTTTAATAACCCGTAGTTTGTCCTCTAACTTCGCGCTATCGTTAACGAAGCCGTATGCGGTCGATTGCTTACTACGTAAACGGAAGATGGTAACTTTGCGTTTGCCCCTATACGAACATCCGCTTACTAGATTTGTCACGCCGTCAGTATGTAGTCAGCGATACCTGAGCAGTTAAAGGACACAGCGCTTGACAAATCAGAAAGCGAACGTTTCTTCTGCTACAGGATAATGTTGCTATTGCCGTTGAACTGCTCATCTTACCCTACGACTTCTTATTCTTTATCGTTGTTACATACATACATACATAAGGAATAGTGTTCATCTATTGCGCGATGCTAATGGTTACCTTATTACTAGACAAACGAAACGAGATAATAACATTGTCATAATATACATATACAAATAGTTGCACATAAAGATTTTATATCGTTCATACCTTTAATGTTTATTCTATTTTCAATCTGTTGATGACGCGAATATTTGTCCCTTTTTTTTATATTTCCGCAATTTATTGAAGGGCATTACTCATTTAGCATTAGATGACTTACGCTAGAGCCTAACGGTTGGCGGACGTGATTGGTCCTTGGATAAACAGACCCATATTACACAGAGAAACGGATGCCAATACAATGAATCTTATGAAACCAATACGTGAAACGGCCCTACGCTGAATTGACCATTTATAGGGTTGGTTACGCGTAACTGAAGCAAACTTAGGTCGGCCACAGCCTGTGTTTTTTGTCAGGGTACTGCCGTGAGGGACAGTAGGATGTTGAACCGGTGTCTAACAACTGCTCTGATCCTTGAGAGGTGCTTGAAAAAACATTTCGATTTTGCGCTTTCTCAACCACTGCATCAATCAACATCAAAAGCATTAGAGGAACAATAAGAACGTACTTACAAGGCTACTCTTTTTTTTTTTTTACAAAAAGGAGACTCACAAATAGCCATCTAGTCCGAATTTTGCTGCCTTCTGAGCTCCATACAATAGCTTTTTTCCACTTTTGTGCATATAAGGCTTGCGCTTCTAGATGACTAGATGAATTTAATCAAGCATATCGTAAACAGGCATAAGGCAACCAACTTCAAAGGGTTCATCCGAATAATGTTTTTTTTGTGTTTTATATCTGGTATTGTCGCTTCAGACGGCTGGTTCCTGCCAGCATAAAACTAAGTGTGTCCACGTCCAAGTCTGAATTTGAAACACGACGTGCTTCTGAATTTCCCAAGCCATGGGGACAATGACGGATAAGCAATCACCGCAAAAACATTTACTTTACAAAAACTTTACATGAATAGAATCTCGTGCTTTCTGTCCTCCATTGCTACTATCTTCGTCGCAACGTTACGAGGGATGCGCCCGTCCACCAGGAACAACCTGTGTCACATACAAAATACCACTAGATCTATAGCAGTGCGTAGTCCACACGGTGCGAGCGCTGGTCTTGCGTGTGGCACAACGTGTTTGCCGCTATGCAAGCTCTCTCTCGATGGTTCCTGACGTCGATGTTCGACTGCTGGTGCTGGTGTTTTTGGTGCCATACCGGTATTAATGACAGCGACACACAACTCTACAAACTGCAGTTGAGGGGGAAGTATAGAAAAAAACAGTCAAGACGTTCTGCCACCACCGGATCCTACTGTCTTTGTCAACCGATGCGTTGTGGTGATGATAATGCTCTCGGAGGTAGTCGTAGACGGTCGGGCTTGACATATATGTAGGTCCAGCGAGGTTATAGAAGCGAGCCTCCAAAAGGGGTATGGGTTAGGATTAGGACCAGAGCCACCCACACTGGGGCGATGAGGAGTCGCCAGATGCAAGCGCTAGCAGACGTCGAAAATAGCTCCACCCATCTAGTAGATGTCTGGACAACTGAGTAAGAGAGGCTGAAAGGCTGATGGGTAGGTATGTATATCGAGCAGCTTGCCGACGCTGCTCTGGTGCCGTCGACGACCCCAAAAAGCGTCAAATTGCAGCCACGTCCTCCAACTCTCTGTTCCGTTTTTCTCGGACGCTTTCGGTTTTCTCCCGTCTCCAACGACCTAGACGAGCTTGCCTCCCCGGTTCTTCCGGCCTTTATGTAGGCTGTCTTACGTCGTCCCCTTCCTCTCCCTTTGAGGGCTTCCTCGTTCGTATTCGCATCGGGAACATTCGCTTGCAGCAGATGCAGTAGTTGCGATTCTTTACGTCTGTTCTTCTCTAGTGAAGGCTGGTAATCTGTCAGCCGAGCCTTACCCTTCGCGTTCCGGCGTTCGGTCGATGCAATGGGTCTCGCGCGTCAAGGTCTCTCTGCATGGGTTGCTGCGGCATTTTAGTGGCAGGCGAACTGTGACTGTGTGTGCGAGTGTATAGGGCATCAAGAAAAGAACGGGAAAAGAAAAAGAACAACTCCATTACACCAGGCTGATGGGGACTGTGAGAGATGGCGATGTAGACAGACGGAGAGAGCTCTGGGAAAGTCACTGATACGGGTTAACGAAAACTATAGAATTCCGTTGGGTGAAAGCTAGAAAGGCATCCACTGACAGACTTGAGATGTCCTAACGAATATGGGTCCCCCCAACAGAGACTATGAAGTGAATTGAAAGGCAAAAGCATCACAACACGTATGTATGCCGCAGAAAAATAAGTGATAATCGACTACGCTATATAAATATATCTAGAATTGAAAAATGTGCCGCGGTTCTTTGCTGATCCATTTCCATGAATGAACAAAAAACGTCCCAAACGGTATTTGCAAGATTTTGTACTGATTAACTGTCGCAAATAGAGACAAAACAAAGGTTTGTCTTTGACTTAATTTATACCTGTATTATATTGAATTTTTATTTGTTCTATATGCCTATTCTGAATGCTCTAGACTTCCCATTAATTGAATTAGTTAGAAATATTTCTCAAAAAATCAACTAATCAATAATCACTTCTGAATCTATATAGACACCGGATTGCTATTCCATTTCCTTTGCTAGGCCAATACATGCATGTAGATTAGATCGTCACTTTTAAATAGCTATCTAATGTCCAATGAATATCTTTTCCTAATACAGCAAGTCGTTTGCCATAATCGTATCGTTTCATGTAGTTTGCTTTTATAAACTTCCGGCCTCCTTATGCGAGCAATTGTTACGCTAAGTACCGCTCTAAGCTAAGTTTGGTCCTTAAAGGTCATACGACGTTAAATCGGCCTTTAGATAGGTCTATTGTCGAAAACAATTTTATAGCCATAGACAGGTTATAACAAACGATAAACGCACGCAATTTCGCCATGATACGTAGCAAGGACACATTTTACATGCGACGGCGGTAGCTAAGGCACCAGCAGTGATCACAAGCATCATTCAAAAAAGCAGTTGTATGGCAATAAAAAATTCAAAAGCGGAATAGCGAAAGCATAAATACGTTCGTATGGCGCATGATATTGCACAAAGTCTTACCGTCCGCCCATTGACCCATCTATCTATCTATCTAAACATTTACATATCGTCTGCTTGTCATATTTCCTACTTTTAGTTTTATACTTTACCACCAACTGCTTGCTGGAGCTGGAGTGACCGAAGTCTGCCTGCCGAAAAGTTTGTGTATGGCATTTTTAAGAAATGATTCCAACGCTTTCAAGCGAGCGTAGGTAATGCTGACAAATAACCACAACAACAAAAACAGTAAATGATAGCAGACGACGATGCTTCCCGAACCCGCATTTTGGCCGATAGGTCGTGTCGCATTCAACTTAAGAAGTATGGCTTGAACGTAGACATGCATATAAATAGAACCGCCTAGATCGGCGCCACGGCTGGCTGCATATAGGGAGTAGCCAGATACGTAGTATTAACGTAAATAGCTGTTTTCCTTATGGAAAACCACTGGCCTCCTGCTGAAGCAGTGCCATTGATATCTGCGATCAACATAAATATTCGCAATTATTTTTTATATATGGCTAGAGACGCACAGGAGGACTCGAAGATGTAAGGAAGACCGAAATTTGTACGCATTACTTATATATATATATATAGGGATCTTCAAGAACAAACGTTTTGTCCCTGTGCATTGAACGACAAACTTATTAATTTTCTTTAAAGATATTTTTGGATTTGAAAACTTATTTTTGCAGCCACAAAACTAGTTGTTTCACGGTGCACCGCTATATCAGACTTTACTAGCGCGGCTAAGAGCTTTTGAAAGCCTATCTTCTTTAACAAATAAAATTAGGAATAGAGAGATCTGATTGAAGGGAGGATGCCTACTGTTAGATGATATGATCACTCTGATTTACGAAGACCATTTTCTCATGGGAAATCTATGCGTCGGTTCAAATAATACGTACAAAACTGTCTGTGTATGCTTGTACTCATCCGAAAACAAGATCAATAATACTAAGAAGTAATCTTCGATGTAGCATGTTGGTTTCAACTCAGTTCTGTAGGCTCGTTCGATCGACTCTCCGATCAGTCAACGGCCTACGGCAAGTTCAGAAGCCTTGACAAATTGGCAATGATAGGCGAACAGAGCTACGTAAACTCGCCAATGATGAAATCAGCCTCATCAAAGCTCAGAAACCATCTTCAATTTCGATATTTTTTATGTCTAATTCTACTGGAGTGTCCTATGTTGCGGATATTTTCAAACGTAACTCACCATGTATAGGTAATCACTCTACTAGTGTATACGATATATAATACCGACGCATACAATCTGGGATATGTCAGCAGGCGGATCTTCCGTATTTGCTTGGATGATCAGATTTACTGGCGGCGATATTAGAAAGGACGCACGTTGGAACCGATTCATCTTGTAAAGTTGGAATGGTAGATCAGCTATATATTGGTTTAGCGATTGTTCCAAACGGATTATTTTGGCTAGAGTTTCATTGGTCTGAATGATTCTGTATCAGAGGCCGGAGGGAACGTTGTCGCAATGATTTGATGTACCAATGCGTTTATCTTTAGCCTCTTTATTTGCAGATATATCTACTCGGGTCAAATGCAAAGTGGCTGCCACGAGGCCCGTAACGTGAAGCGAGTGAAGCAAATACACTAGCATAGCCTTATGTCAGAGTATCTGAGAGAGTTGTTTACATCTATAGATGCGAAATTATCATATTGTTGACAATATATTTTAGAAGGCCCAAATCAGACTGCATGTATCTCAATAAAAGCTAGTAGTAATGATAGCGTGGTACCTCACGTAACGCGGGCAAATACCATTTTGTTAGACAGTATTGTTTCAATGAATTTGTCCAGTGAATCACCAAATGCGTAAACCAGCTATTACGCCGATGACACTAATATATCCAAAGTGGTAATGAGGGAGGAGCTGTTGAGAAAGTC